TTTATTATTTTTATGTATTTCTTTCCCATATATCCATGTGCCTTTATGTTTTATATTTTATTTTGAATTTCAAAAATATTTTTGAGTAGGAAATTTATTTCATTATAGGAAAAAAAACTCAAGTACAGGAAGGTATAAAGTAATTGCCCTCCCCTCCCCCACCTTGGATACCTTGCTTCCTCTCCCCACCTCAACAGCCACTATGACTCATTTCTTCTGTGTATTTACAAGAAGGACCACTTGCGTATAAGCATGTAAGACTGTATCTCCCTTTGTTTACATGAAGATTAGCTTTTTAAAAATATATTTTTTAAGTGAGCATACAGTAAAATTGTGTGTGTGTGTGTCCAGCTCTATGTGTTTTGAAGCTGACAACCACAATGAGGATACAGAATAGTCCTATGACCCCCAAAACTCCCTCCTACTGTCCTCACGAAGCCCACTCCTTCCTCCCATCCCTAATAACCACTAATCTGTGTTTGTTGCCATACTATTCCCTTTTCCAGAATGTTATATAAATGAAATCAAACAGTATATAACTTTCTGAGACTGACTTCTTTCACTCACATAATACCTTTGAGATTCATCCAAGTTGCCATGTGTATTAATAGTTCATTCTTTGGGGGCGCCTGGGTGGCTCAGTCGTTGGGCATCTGCCTTCGGCTCAGGTCATGATCCCAGAGTCCTGGGATCGAGCCCCGCATCGGGCTCCCTGCTCGGCGGGAAGCCTGCTTCTCCCTCTCCCACTCCCCCTGCTTGTGTTCCCTCTCTCTGTGTGTCTCTCTCTGTCAAATAAATAAATAAAATCTTTAAAAAAAAAAAAAAGTTCATTCTTTGTTCTTGCTGAGTAGTATTCTGTTGTATGCATGTACCACAGCTGGTTTATCCATTTACTTGTTGAGGGACTTTTGAATTGTTCCCAGTTTTTGGCAATGCTGGATAGAGCTAATACAAAATTTTTTTAATGGAGTTTTGTGTAAACATATGTTGGTATTTCTCTATGGTGTGAGATTGGGATTACTGGGTCATATGGTGTGCGTATTTAACTTTTAAGAAATTGTCAAACTGCTTTCTGGAGTGGCTGTACCATTTTGTATTCTCACCACCAGTGTATGAGAGTTCCAGACACTCCATATCCTCACCAACGCTTGGTAGTATCATTTGTTTGTTCTTTTTGCTTTTTTGCCTTTCTGTTAGGTGTGTAGTGATATCATCATTGTTTTAATTTGCATTCCCTAATGGCTAATGATGTTGAACATCTCTTCAAAGACTTATTGGCCATTTGTATGTCATCTTTGATGAAATACCTGTTTAAATCCTTTGCCCATTTTTTATTAGGTCATTTGAAATTTTCTTACAGTTGAGTTACATATATATTCTGGATACAAGTTCTTTGTTGGATAACTAACTTGCAAATATTTTCTCACAGTCTGTGGCGTATCTCTTCATTTTCTTAACAGTGTCTTTTGTAGAGAAAAAGGTTTAAATTTTGATGAAATTCAATTTACCAAATTTTTCTTTTATGGGTCACATTTTGGTATCTTATCTAAGAACTCCTTGCCTAACACCAGATTGCAAAGGTTTTCTCTGATGTTTCCTTCTAAAGTTTTATAGTTTTAGGGGCTCCTGGGTGGCTCAGTCAGTTAAGTGGCTGCCTTTGGCTCAGGTCATGATCTCAGGGTCCTGGGATCGAGCCCCATGTCAGGCTCCCTGCTCAGCGGGGAGTCTGCTTCTCCCTCTCCCTCTGCCTGCCTCTCTGCCTGCTTGTGCTCTCTATCTCTCTGTCAAAAAAAAAAAAAATAAAATCTTAAAAAAAAACCTTTAAGGTTTTATAGTTTTACATTTAGATCAATGACCCATTTTGAGTTAATTTTTGTTTAAGGTGTGAGGTTTAGGTCTCAAGTTTTCTTTTTTTGCAGATGGTGTCCATTTGTTTCAACATCATTTGGTAAAAAGACCATCTTTTCTCCATTGAGTTGACTTTGCACCTTTGTACATAAATCAATTGACTGTTTTGTGTGGGTCTGTAGTTGGGACTATCTCTTCTGTTCCATTGATCTCTATGTTTATCCCTTCAATATTATAGTCTTAATTACTGAAGCTGTGTAATCGTTTTTAAAATCGAACAGTGTAAGTCCTCCAACGTTACTCTTCTTTTTCAAAATTATTTTACAATCAGCTTATCTGCATCTACAAAAAAAAATCTTGATAGAATTTTGATTGAAATAGCAATCACCAAAACTGGAATATCTGGATTAGTGATCAGCAAGGGAAAGAAACAAAGAGTGATTTAAATATTTCTTTTTTAAAAAATTGATATTTCCAGTTTCTCCATTACAAACAATGCTGTAATGAACCTTGTTTGAATGGGACAAACTTTTAGGGGTCTTAAAGGGGGATATTATGGGTGTGTCCGCATGCACGCACTCGTACGCACACGCATTGGTCCATTGGGTTATTTCTGGTACTGCCCTGATAGAATTTAGTTTCTGGAAGCTTTAGAAGCGTAGCTGTTGAGGAAAAGCCATCCAGGTGAATTCCCCCAATCCCTTTCCCACGTGGCGGTGACTGTTTTATTCCCGAGGCTCAGCCCTAGAGGGCGCCCGCTCCACTTGACTGGCGGCAGCAAACTGCAGGAGGCGCAGAAGCCCGTGTCAGGGCAGCCACGTGACTCGTGAAAAGTGGGGCCTCCGAAAGTATAAATACGTCTGTTCTCTGGCCTTAGCCACATTTTCTGTGGGTTGCAAAACTCAGCCTAAGAGCCCAGATTTTGGCTTCGCAGCAGCAAAGGCTGAAAGAGGGAAAGGTTGCCCAGAAAGCTTCACCCACACGTTGTACCGTGAACTTTTAAAGGATGGATACAACTCCCCATTTCCAGGCGCGGCATAGCATCCCAAACATTTTGATGCTGATTACTTGACTAGATTTAAAAAAATGTTTTTTTTAGCTGAAGGAAAACTATTTTGTTTAATATATTAGAACCTATTTATAATACTGGGTTGGAAGAGATGTCTCTGAATTAATAACACCAGTCTTATTCTATGTGTAGTTGTTATATTTAGGTAGGCAGGATTTCACATTTTCTCTGGATCTGTGTAAAAATGAACTGTATCATAATAGTGAGTGTATAACTTTAAAAATGCATTTAGGGCGCCTGGGTGGCTCAGTTGGTTAAGCAACTGCCTTCGGCTCAGGTCATGATCCTGGAGTCCTGGGAT